ATAAAAATCTCAGAATCACTTAAAGCAAATTGTTAAGCAATGACTATAACTTTATGGATGCATTCATTCAATAAATATTGTGTACTAGGAATTATACTAATAAAACGGGTACAACCCCTGTCCTCCATGCATTTATAGCCTATTGAAATAATAAGTATTAAATAATCCTAGAAATTATTTTTATTTTACACATTGAGTCACACTGTAATGAGAGAAAGAGAAAAGTTGATTGAATAGGACATCAAAATTGGAATATAGTGATTAAAGATTTAACCTGAAATTTAAATATAACATTTATCTTAGTGCTATGTGAAAAAAGAATCCTATATTCTGAGAGATCACAAAACTCTGTAACACTGAGAAACAGCCTAGTCTTAAGGCCACATTTAAAGGGTTCAAGGGGTATACGTTTAGAAGACACTTACCAGACTAAAGTGTTTCAAAAAGAGGAGTATTTATGGCATTATTACAGTTCTTTGAGAGAAGTTCCTGGAATGCTGCATGTTTAGAGATTCTGATGTAATTACATAACCAAAAGAAACATAAGTTAGTGTATTTCACAGAATGAAAAATAATATCTTGAGAAATGGCAATCCGATTAAATTTAATATGTAGTGCATTTTACAAAAATAAAGGTTACCTAATTCTAAGTAGAACAGTACATGAAACAGTAACTTGATGGTAGTGCCATAATGCGTAAACTCTGAGGCAGGGAGAAAGACACATAGACAGGAACAGGCAGAAAAATCTAACAAGGAATAACAGATTTCTGACCAAACAGTGGTAACTATTATAATCTAAGGTAGTGGGTTACAAGAAATAGTAGCTATTTTTATAAAGCAGTAAAAATTGGAGTAAAAGAAAAGAATTATTGGAAAAATTACTAGATAAGTGGAAAAATTTTTTCCCTGAAAATAAATATAAACATTATAAATGTTTTTTTTTTCTCTTCTTTCTTTTTCTTTCTGTATTTTTTGCTTGTATATAATGTGAATCTTCAAGTGATAAATTTATTATGCAGCACTACTCGGTCAAGAAACTTTAACCAAGAAATCTTTCAAAAATGAAACACACTTGTACATTTCCCAAAAGGAACATATATAAGAAAATCCAGTTTGGGAAATATTGTTATAAAGTGTTTTAGAAAGAGATATTTATGGAAAATATGAATGATTTTATTTCTGACCTTTTTAGTTGATTAAACCATAAAGAATACTGATTTGCAAGTAGGAAATTTGGCAGGATAGATGGGAACTTGCCAGTAAATTGGATATTAAGCAGTTGCTGTGCAACCATAAAGAGAAGCTATGTGTCAATATGTCTCTGTCAGAATTAAAAATAATATAAATTGCATTGATTTTATCATTTCTCTACTATCTAGATGGACTGAAATGGGATGAGGGAAATGTTGGTACATAAAATCACAAGTTTGGGCAAAGAAATAAAAGGACAAGAAAATGAACACTTCAATAAATTGTATATAGCAGGCTTAGACTTTAGAATTACTTGTGAATTGGCACATGTGTGTTTTGCTTTGTAAGTACGGAACATAGAATGGTAGAAAAGAAGAGAAAGCAGATAGGAAGAAGAGGGGAAGGAAGGCATTATGAAAGGAGGTGGGGAGAGGGAAGAGAAAAAAAGAGCTGAAAGGACAGGAGAGGAAAACAAAGAGCAGGGAAAACAAATTGGGAAATGGAAAGGCAAAGGAAGCAGAGGAGGGCAAAGAGGAATGGGGGAAGAACAGACGATGGAAGAAAGGGAAGGAAGGAAAGAAGGAAGGAAGCAAAAACGAAATGATCTCAATTTAACAAACCCAGAAAATTATCTCTGAAATATTTGGTGAGGCTTGTGTTCATTCTTTGTAATAATCAATTTATTCTCCTAAGGAGCTTTAATATATGTCTTGGAAGAAATTCTTAAGAAATGATAATTTTAAATAAAATTATTTGATCAAAATTTAACATGTAGTTACATTTATACACAGTAATTTTGTTGTTGAGGAAATTCTGAGTAAGTGCATTTGTGGTTTTCATATGTCCGCTCACATTCAGCTATAGTATGTTACTTAGAACAGCCTGTACACGTCCTTTGATAGAAGATTTTTGAGCTGCAAGTCTTACGGATGTGACACATCAAGGAAGTATAGTAAACAAGTCTTCCTTCTGTCCTGTTTTCTTCCTCTCCCTTCCCTCCCCTCTCTTCTCCTCCTGTCCCCTCTCCTCTCCTGTCCTCCCCTCTGCTCTCTTCTTTTCTTTATTCTCCCTTTCTCCCTCTGTCTGTTGTCTTTTTCTTTCACTCTTATGCAAGCTACAATTCTTTTTACCTTGTAAATGAGATGTATTGTTAACTTGTAAAAAGATAATTACTAAAATATATCAGTTCCTTACTACCAATATGGAGAATATGTTTCAATAAGCAAAGAAAATTCTATGAGAGAAAGAAAATTTTTAAAAAGAAAAACAAAGATCAAAGATGGCATAATAAAGATACAAGGGCAAAATTTACCTTAAGGAAGTATCTGGCTTATCTGAATAGTGTTTTGAAACCATGACTTTTTTGTCCATATTTAAAATGTAGACAGTTTTAAACAATTTCTTGTAATCTCACAAAAAGAAAGAATTTATATAGTTTCGCTGCTGTGTTGAAACTCTCACCAAGTTTGAATAAAACTAGAACTCAAAATGAAGCATGTTAGCTTTGGCTGGAATAAAATATCAATTACACATCCTAAGAAAACAAGTGTGTTGAGGTTTGCTAGCAACGGAAAATTATGTATTTATAATCATCACTGGATAGCTTTTGCTTTTATGCATTTTGTTTTGTTTTGTCCTTAAAAATATAATGAAGAATAGTGTGTTTGAAGTTATTAGAATAAACATCCAGTGCGGCTTACCAAGTGTGGAGAATTGACAATAAAATATTCTTTCTATCCTCCTCAAGATAAGAAGTGAGCTGCACAAAGCACTTGAATGGATTAAGATTTTTTTTTAATTTAAAAATCTACTTTCCAAGAAACAAACCTTCCAAACCTTGTGTATAACTTTATTTTCACAAAATAAACTTCATCTTTATGCTTGCCAGTTGTGGCCATTTTAGTGCTCTCAACACAAGATTTGATTCAGATACTGGGTTTCTAATTAAAAAACACAATCAATAAACTGCTCCTCACCTTTAAAAGGAAGTTATTCTCCTTTGATTCATGTTTATTTTGAGGGAAAACATAAATAAGAATGGTTATTCAGAGAAAAAGTGACATTACAGCTCACTAGACTAGGCTAGACTTAGTGCATTAATGAAACTGAAGAGTAAAACAAGATGACTCTAATTTATGCTGAAAGGAAAGACGTATCATGGAGACCCAAATCACAAAATCATCACTCTTATATTGTGTTAAGAATACTTTTAATCAGCTATTGTTTTACTCAGAATATGAAGATATTTGCCTAGAGCCTACTTAGTAAGGAATGATTGAGAATTCATAACGAATGGACCAATGGACAATGGACAGATTGATATCTTTCATTTTAAAGTGTTTGTAATCCAGGACAAGGGATTACATCTAGATAGGTAAATAGTAATAGTAGACAACTTTGGCTGAGGATCCAATGACTGAACAATTAAATTGGAAAGTAGAATGGCTGAGCTAATACCCTAAGCAGCATGAATGGGCAGAGACACAGAATTCATAATTCATTGAGTAAAATTTCAAAGAGAGCACAGGAAAGAAGCTGAGAAGCTGAAATTCCCCTAATATATTAAGGAATACTTGCCTAATGAAAATTGCACAGAGAGTTCTACTTACAAGGACATCCCTTTTAGGAAAGCTGAGCAGATAAAGGACTGCTTTGAAGAAAAACTGCTCATCAGTTGGGTTTGTTATATTTTTCCTTGTCCCACTTATCAACAGTATGCTACTTCTTATGATTTTCTTTGTCTGATTTTGATGCTACTCTTGCTAAAAGATTTAGAGATGTAAATATATTTGCACATGTAATTACAGGCAGCCTTGAACAAAAACTGAACTGTTTAGTTGGGGGTTTTTTTGTTTTTTTTTTTTTTTTTTTTTAATCAGGAAAGCATGCTGGGTGAATTGTGCAGAGAAATGTGAATGTGAAGTATATGTTCTAGGGAAGAAAATTACCTTTTAGAAGCAGGCTATTTCTGTGAAAGAGAAAGCAATAAGACCAATCCCTTGGGACAGATGTTAAAAGATGCATGTACATCATTACTTTTCTGTAGGTCTGAGCATCCAATTAGCAAAAATGATACTTACTGTGTAGTTGCTAATACAGATGAATATAAGCACATATACCATAAGCACAAACACCAAATTTCATTATATTTTCACCTCCACTGAAAAGAACCTTTTGCCCTAAAGCATAAAATCAGAAACAAAAACTTACCACATAAGGTTATTGAATTATGATTTACATTGCTATAATGATTTTTGAAAAATCCAACCCTGTACATTTTTTGACTTTTTAAATTCACTTCTAATAGTAAATAAGGGTGAGTACCCATTATCTATAAATATTAGAAGCTATTGATACAGATTGATAATCATGACTACTCTGAATTATTGTATTTGATCTTGGGAAACATTTTCCCGACAACTTTCTTTAAAACAGAAGGCACTGTTTTTATCAGTGTTCTGTTCTCAGTGTAGTACTGTGCCTACATGTGAATTAAGCACCTTTCTATTTCATCCATTTTTTGTTTTTAATTTCCTATTTCCTGTCTGATTTTCCCCCAATACTCTGAGTTAAACCTATGTATTAGAAACATTTTATTTTTAAAAAACAAAATTCTTGTTGCTAAAAAAGTCTTTTGCTTTATTTTTCATAGTAAACTCCTATTCTCTTTTTCAAGTTGGTTTTCCCTACTCAAAATGAACATTACCATACTCTAGCATTAGCAAGGACTCTACTCTCACCATGCTAACCTTTAAAAATGAAATTCTGTGTTCTTTGAAATAATTAATTTACCGTCTACTTTTGTAGGTTCTCCATATCGAGACAAAATCACCATAGCAATTCTTCAGCTGCAAGAGGAAGGCAAGCTGCACATGATGAAGGAGAAGTGGTGGAGGGGCAATGGCTGCCCAGAGGAGGAGAGCAAAGAGGCCAGTGCCCTGGGGGTTCAGAATATTGGTGGCATCTTCATTGTTCTCGCAGCCGGCTTGGTGCTCTCAGTTTTTGTGGCAGTGGGAGAGTTTTTATACAAATCCAAAAAAAACGCTCAATTGGAAAAGGTAAATGCCATTTTTTTGCAATTTAAAACACTTACTTTTGTCATAATAAAACACAAATGAAAAGATTTTTGATATTTACAACCAAGGGTTATCTTAGATCTGTGGCTGTTGTTTTAAATCATTCATTACATAACACAAAGGTATACTTTGCAAAATTTATATTTCCATAAAAAGATTCATGATCACCTTTATGATTTTTAAGGTATTGTAATAAGTTGAATTGTGCTTCAGGACAAATGGCCTTTTTCTACCTCACTGAAGTAATGGGGTGCTTGTTCCTTGAAGTCCATCACAGATAGCTTAATGTAGGAATATAGCAAATAAGGAAGCAAAAATCAGAAACTGTACTAGGAAAGAAAAATATGCTACAAATAAAATGAGTTTTATGATACTAGTTAGTATTTTTGAGCTAGAGAATAAGTGAAATTTTTGTTTCAATTTAATTATCCCAATTAATTTATAGTTTAAAAACAGCTTACTTTGTGGAAGTTATAATTGTGTATGGTAATGAATGTATAAAAATATCAGTTTCTTTTTATTATTAATATTATATTATCAATATTATTAAGTCCTTTGTTTTATTGCTTTAGAGTCTTTATAAAATTTGTATAGCCTCAAAATATTGAGATTATAAATTTACTTGGTATTTTAATATAGTTGGCCATTTATAAAAATGCTTTTTTTATTGTATTCATGAAAAGTTTGAACCTCATTTAAGTTCTACTATCTAGTTTATAATTTTCTTATTTCTATAAATATGAGGAAGAATATTTAAGAAATCATTTTTTCTGATAATACAAGACATATATATTATTTTTTTCTTATATATAGCTTGACATGAAATGAATAACATTTAATAAGTTTTCAAGAACTTTAATCTTTTCTACGTGAACATCATTTTAATTTTTAATACAGCTCAACAAATTTTAGTTCTTAATTTCAGGAAATGTATAAGAACAATGTTATATTCTCTTTAAAACCTGAAAGACCTATGAACTGCTAATAGTAGATACAAAGAACAGAAATGTAGTATTTAAAAGACAATATGATAGAGTACAGCAAGAAAAATATATTCTGCTACTATTCTATGAAATATTTGCACCTTTAAAATTATTTTTAAATAAATATTTCACTGTTATAATTTATATTTTCATTACTTTCTGGAGTTAGAAATTTGGATACTGCATTTTGACATTTTTACTTGACTATAGTACTTAACCCATACAACTAATGTTTTTATAACTGAATATTTTGATAAGACCATTCTGTGTATGACTAAAAAAATAAATTATAATTTTGAAAAATTAAGTCACACAATTTATTTTCCCACCACATTAAGGGTGGCTATTTCTGATGATTTACCTAATTAAATACTTTTGCACTTGTGTGACTGATGATTATGTGTACATATGTTTTTTTGTATTGTGATTCTTTTTATGGTATCAACATGACTTTTGAAATTAAATCAAAAGGACTATATACAGGGGAAAATATTAACTGAACAATTGCCATTGTTGTTATAACTTGTCAATAAATGGGATATTTGATTTTTTAATGCTTAAATAATGCCAACCATTATTGAAGGAACTTGGGTTTTGGTTGGAACCTCAAATTATCCATATGTAATACTTTCTCTAAGTTATAACAATTTTAAAATAAAGTGAATGAATTAAATCTTGATAACATATGAATTTCTCTTGTACTTATCTCTAAATGTTTTGTTCATTTGATTTACCTCAGCTGTGACTCTAACACAAAATTAAAAAAAAAATTCATTAAAAAGTGTGATAATTTGATTTGAAAATAAACCTATTTTGTTTTTATCATACGTGACCAATTTAGTTGAATTATTCAGATATCAACTAGACCTCTTGACATGCTATGGGTCTCTAAGACCTTCTAAAAATTAGGAAAAATGAATGAATCTTTAAAAACTGAAACAGATTGGGGATTGACATCACACTGTTGAAACTAAAAGAATATTACTGCCCAGCCCCCAGCTTTCAACCACTGTCTTCACATATCTTCCATGAAGAAATCCAGATTGTCTGACTTAGCACATGAGACCACTTGGGATCATCTGCTTCTGTCCACAGTTGCAATTTCATCTTTGGCTTCTTTCCAATGTGCACCTTTCCTCAAACAACACTAACTGTCCTTTCAATTCCTAGGTCTTTACTTTCCATTTTGACAAAAGCAAACCTAGTCCATTTTTCAACTTTGCAAGTTTCTGCAAGTAATTTTAGATTACCCATTTAAAACTAGTATGATGATTAACAGGCTGAGAATATTGGGGGAGTGAGGGTTGAGAGGTTGGTCAATTGCTACTAAGTTATAGTTAGATAGGAATAAGAAGTTCTCATGTAAAATTACACATTAGAGTGACTATAGATAACAATAATGTGCTATACCTTCCAAAAAGTGAGGAGAAAACTTTTGGAATGTTTTCATCATAAAGAAATAATAAATGTTTGAGGAAATATGTTTGAATGGTTTTAAACCATATATGTGTGTATATATATATATCTTTATATAAACTCCCTATATAAGCTATATATATAAACTTTATATATAGTCATATCATGTGTCATTAATATGCACAATTTTAATGTAATCTTGTATCTATCAGTTAAACTAAATTGAAATGGAAAAAGAATTAAGATAGCTAACAGTTTTTTAATGCAACTGTCACAAAACAAACAGGTGTTATTTTATTTTCATTATTAGTGATTAACCTGACACATTTTAACTGCAAGATATTAGTAAAAGAGATTTCCTGGAATTAAGAAATAGCTATATGGATATTATACTTTTCTTGAAAAATTGTATCATTTTTATTGTAAGCTAAAATGTGATGATTAACATTGTTTCTTTGTAAACTGCATTTCACGGTTCTGTTGACTAAAGTGGTATTGAAGCCTGTCAGAACTTATTTATTGATTTGTCTAGTTTAAATAGGGAAGTGTAAAAATATATAAGATGCTCCATTTTTCTGTGCCATTGCATTTGCAAAATGAATTATGAATATATTGGATTACTTTGTTTAAGTCAAGTTTTCAGAGCATAAATAATCTTTGGTTATGTTTATTATTGTAAAATAATTTAGGGTAATGCATAATATGTTTTGTCACTTAACTCATTGAGAAAGATATGTATTTCATTTTTTCACAATTTTTTTCCTCTCCACCTTATCATTTAGTATGAAAAAAATTAACATTTCATTAGAACAGTATCTAGGTAGAAAGCTCAACGAAGAACAAAGTCATCACTCATAAGGCAGGGTAATTTTTTTTTTTAATTTATAGAATGGAAGTTAAAACAGTAAGGTTTCTATCATGGCCATGACAAGAGTAACGTACATAACCTTAGGTATATAACTTTACTTCCTAAGTTTTAGTTTATCTGTGAGGTTCAAATAAATAGTATAACTTTTTCGAAATCATAGCTGCAATAAGACTGAATTTCAAAATCAAAGTTACAATATATATTTGAACATGGGTGTTTTAACTAGTCATTTCTCATCTCTCATTAATTCACTCTTATACTCATATGGCCTTAGGTTCATTCAGACTTCTGATGGATAACATTAGCTGTCTGATATTTTTAAAAGCATCCCAATTAAAAATAGTATAAATCCAAATGAAAAATTTAAAGGGTCACATCAAATAATATTTTTCTGTATTTAATGTACTAATATTCATATAAAATATTGTAATCATATATCTTTTATTTCATTTTACTTAGATAGTTTAGTATTTAATGTGACATGATTGCAATAATTACTTGGAATTGCCTCCATTACATGTGATTCACGGTTGTTTTTCTGATAGCTTATAGGTTCAGAAATTATACAGTGTTGAAACATGTATCATGTATGCCTAGTTAACAGATACATTATAGACACAAAGCAGTTTGGTTGATATATGTTAGTATAAATTAGAGCATTGAGCTACAAAACCTGAGGGAAGCAGCTCAAAGATATTCTGTAGAGATTCAAATGAGAACTATGTAAGAAAGATGATTGTGAATTATTCTGAATGAAAACTGGAATAACATGTAGTTTTTGATATGAAGGAATATTTTAGCAAGACTCAAAAATAAAGCTTTATTCTTAAAAATAAATATGAATATAGACTGGACAACAATCTATATTATGATAACTCCTTGATCAAGCAATAATGAATAGATTCACCCAGACGGACAGGGATGAGATTTAGGAGTTTAAAACTTCAAATTGGTTCTTTTTTTACCACTTGGTTTTAACTTAAAGTTAAGTTTAAATGTGTCAATTTGAATAGCGATCATGGTTACAAATAGATTTCTAATGTTTAAAAATTCTTTGTTTCTCCAAATGTTCTCATATCATGTTATCATATAAACACTTCTATAAAAGCAATTGAAAATAATTATTCTGTAATCCTCATCATGGTGTTTTTGCAACCATTTCTCCGTGGACTCTGTATTTTCTTATTATACTCAAAATACAAAATAAGGCTTAAAAATAAATGTAAATATGGCCAATTTTATACCATTAAGGTTTCCAAGCTTTCATTATTTCAAGAATTAGAGATGTGTAAATATGGATTGTTTTATTCAATTTAGTGAATTTTATGAAGAGTTTTCTTATTTAAATGCAGTTATACATGCTAACAGCTCAAAGATTTAAATTTTCATTTTCAGGAATCTTCTATTTGGTTAGTGCCACCATACCATCCAGACACTGTTTAGTAAAATTTGAAACTTACTAAAAGAGGTTTTTAATAATGGTTAGTATCCTTGTGCCTTTTTTTCTTTTTGTAGTCTGTTAAATCAATGTGGAGAAACATTTTTACTGTTATTTTCACTCTAAGGAACTTTCCATATTTAAGGATACTTACATTGGTTTCTACCTCTAGGGAAAAGTGATTTGATAGGCATGGTACTTCTCAGTCCCTCTCTTTCCCTCCCTGCCTCTGCTCCTTATTCCCTCTGCCCCTCTTCCCTGTCTCTATTTAGTCCTT